CTGGGATTTCTAGAGGCATTAACCAGAGAAGAGTTAGGGTAGTACCTGTCCTTGAGTATTCTGCTTACTAGAAGCTCTGGATTTGAGGCAATCCTCCACAGCTGTTTACAGATCATTGCTTTATTGAAAAGTTGGAGGTCAAGGAAGGATAGACCACCATTCTCTTTAGGGAGTGAGAGGAAATTCCAATTTTTCCAATGGATTCCTTTAGCCGGATCAGTTCCAGATTTCCACCAAAATTTTGCACATAAACTTGTAATTTCAGAGTAGATTGACACTGGCAGAGTGAAACAAGCCATTGTGTAGACTGGAAGAGCTTGGATAATAGCTTTGAGCAGGACTTCCTTTCCAGCAGGGCTAAGAAGCTGAGATTTCCAAGATGTGAGCTTAGCTCTGACTGAATTCACTAAGTAAGCAAAAACTTCCTTTTTGGATCTGCCAATCCCCAGTGGTAATCCCAAGTATTTAGTTGACCTGTGAGAAGTAATATTGTTCAGAGAGCTGCAGATTGATCTTTGAAGGTGGAGGGGTGTATTTCTACTGAAAAATACAGCAGATTTTTGGAGATTAATAGCTTGACCAGAAAAGAGTTTGTACTGCTCCGGAATGTTCATGAGAAAACCAGCTTGGTCAACCCCAGCTTTAAGAAAAAACAGAGAGTCATCTGCAAAGAAGATATGAGACAGCACAGGTCCATTTCTGGACAGTTTCATTCCTTTAAGCATACCAGAGGAGATTGAGTTGTCTAAGATTCAACAAAATAAAAAAAAAATCCACAATTTATTTATTTATTTTCTTTATTCTTGGCTTTTTCTTTAAAAATCAGAAAATAATTTTCAAAAATTATTTTTAACTTATATTAGTATCTCTCATAATATATAAATCATTTACAAATGATTTAATGTGGAAAAATATGCTTAAAAATAACATAAACACTTTATTTTTTCTAATAATAGCATAAATTGTGAAAATTCACAATTAATTAAAATTGTGCTATTCTTAATCTTTTAAAAAAAATCCATAATAAAACTAAATCTTTATGCTTAATAAAAACTAAGTTTTTCGG